TCAACAGCCCCACTAATGCTTAACCCCACAAACATTTTAGTGTATGCTTGCGTAGTTTTAAGGGCACAGAATATAAACTTTGCCACAGACAGGGTGACACACCCATCACTGCCAGCCAAAGGTGTGGCAGATGGAAGTCTTGTGAGCAGCGGGGAAGCCCGCTCAGGAAAAGGCAGGAGAAAGCTCCCTCTTGCAGGGGGCCTGGCAGCTGCTGAGGAGGGGGTGTGGCGAGGGTTCAGCCCCCTCTCAGCCACAAGGGCTGAGTCTCTGGGGGCAGCTGAGCGCCTCCTGTTCTACAAGTGGAGAAATGCTTATTCTAGCCAAGAAAAAGAGGTGAGGAAAACATGGGATGGTTAAAAAGGAAAAATAACTCAGCCGAACCAATATGAGCAAGTTGACTACAACCAGATTCCAGTGGTAGATCAGAACTTGAAGTGCATTTAGGGGCCTGCAGAAAAGATCGCAAAAATGAAGCCTGAGCTATTCCCAACATGTTTAAAGTTGCTGAGATCCAAAATGAACTCGATATATTAAGTAGGACAAATTGTTTGCTCAGTAAACCTCCAATACCATTGGGAGCGATTGCTCCCTGCCCTGTCTGAAAAAAGAACCTCAAAACTATTATGTGAGCTTTTGTTCCTTCCAGAATGTGATTAAGAGAGATCAACCCAGTCTTAGAAACTGTAAAATGAAATTCAAAAAAATGAAATGAATGCACTTGCTCTATCAGCTGCCCTTTGATTACCCAAAGCTGGCCAGCTTTTCTGTATGCACCGGTTGTGAGTTGCAAAGTTACATCCGACCCATCACGACTCCATGGACAACATTCCCCCAGGCCCTCCTATCCTCCACCATCCCCCAGAATCCACTTAAGCTCACGCCGACTGCTTCAGTGACTCCATCCAGCCACCTCATCCTCTGCCATCCCCTTCTTCTTTTGCCGTCAATTATTTACAGCATTAGGCTCTTCTCCAGTGAGTCCTTCCTTCTCATTAGGTGGCCAAGGAATTTGAGTTTCATCTTTAGTATCTGGCCTTCTAAAGAGCATTCAGGGTTGACCTCCTCTAGGACTGACCGGTTTGATCACCTTGCAGTCCAAGGAACTCACAGGAGTCTCCCCCAGCACCACAATTCAAAGGCCTCAATTCTTCGGTGCTCAGCCTTCCTTAGTTTTCTTGATGCTGAGATTCAAGCCAACTTTTGCTCTCTCCTCCTTCACCTGTATCAAGAGGCTCTTTAGTTCCTCTTCACTTTCTGCCATTGGAGTGGTATCAACTGCATATCTGAGGTTGTTGATATTTCTCCTGGCAATCTTACTTCCAACTTGTGATTCATCTAGCCCCACCTTTCTCATGATGTGCTCTGCATAGAAGTTAAATAGGCAGAGTGACAGTATACAGCCTTGCCGAACTCCTTTCTCAATTTTGAACCAATCAATGCTTCCATGTCCAATTCTCAGTGTTGCTTCTTGACCTACATACAGGTTTCTCAAGAGGCAAATAAGATGGTCTGGTACTCCCATCTCTTTAAGAACTTGCCACAATTGGTTGTGATCCACACAATCGAAGGCTTTAGCATAGTCAGTGAAGCAGAAGTAGATGTTTTTCTGGAACTCCCTCGCTTTCTCCATGATTCAGCATATGTTGGCAATTTGATCTCTAGTTCCTCTGCCACTTCGAAACCCTGCCTGTAATTCTGGTAGTTCTCGGTCCACATACTGCTGGAGCCTAGCTTGTAGGATTTTGAGCATAACTATGCTAGCATGTGAAATGAGTGCAACGGTGTGGTAGTTTGAACATTCTTTGGCATTGCCCTTCTTTGGAATTGGAATGCAAACTGACCTTTTCCAATCCTGTGGCCACTGAGCAAAACTTGCTGAGTTTTCCAAGTTTGCTGGCATATTGAGTGTAGCACTTTTACTGCATCATCTTTTAGGATTTTGAATAGCTCAGCTGGAATACTGTCACCTCCACTAGCTTTGTTGTTGCTCAGACTTCCTAAGGCCCATTTGACTTCACATCCTGGAATGTGAAG